CCCACACGCACAGCACACACCCTCCACAAGCACAGCACACACCCTCCACACGCACAGCACACACCCTCCACACGCACAGCACACACCCCCACACGCACAGCACACACCCTCCACACGCACAGCACACCCACACACACAGCACACACCCTCCACACGCACAGCACACACCCTCCACACGCACAGCACACACACCCACACGCACAGCACACCCACACACACAGCACACACCCTCCACACGCACAGCACACACCCTCCACACGCACAGCACACACCCCCACACGCACAGCACACCCCCTCCACACACAAAGCACGCATAGCACATTCCCCCACACGCACAGCACACACCCCCACATGCACAGCACGCACAGCACACACCCTCCACACGCACAGCACACCCCACACACACAGCACACACCCCCACACGCACAGCACACACCCTCCACACGCACAGCACACACGCACAGCACACACCCCATACACACGGCACCCCCCCACACACGCACAGCACACCCCCCATACACACGGCACACACCCCCCACACGCACAGCACACACCCCCACACGCACAGCACACCCCCTCCACACACAAAGCACGCATAGCACATTCCCCCACACGCACAGCACACACCCCCACATGCACAGCACGCAGAGCACACACCCTCCACACGCACAGCACACCCCACACACACAGCACACACCCCCACACGCACAGCACACACCCTCCACACGCACAGCACACATGCACAGCACACACTCCCCACACGCACAGCACACACCCCATACACACGGCACCCCCCCCACACGCACAGCACACCCCCCATACACACGGCACACACCCCCCACACGCACAGCACACACCCCCACACGCACAGCACACCCCCCATATACATGGCACACACCCCCCACACGCACAGCACACACCCTCCATACGCACAGCACACCCTCCACACACAAAGCACGCACAGCACACACCCTCCACACGCACAGCACACACCCCACACGCACAACACACAGGCAGTGGGTGAGCCTCCAAGAGGCCTCCAAGGGGCGGTTCTCTTGCCATCACTTCCCAACTCCTCCTTTTCAAGGTGCAATTTCTTGGCCCCGGATGATAAGAAAGCCCACCTCTCTCCTGGCTGAGCACCGTCCACCCTCCGTGCCTGCAGAGCACACGGGGGGTTCACCAGACGGCAGCGTGTGCCTCCGAGACAGTGGCTGTGCGTGCACTGGGCTCCCTCCTGTCGTCCGCAGACCAGGGGCAGTCTCCATGGATTCCAACTCTCTCCCCGCCGCTCCTGCCTCCGTTCGCCAAAGGGATCCCGATCGTTCTATCTCCCGACTGGTTGTCGAGAGAGGCCCTGAGAGAACTGCTGTGCTCCGACCGCTCTGGGGGCTCTAGGGCGTCGCAGGAACCGGGGTCAGAACCTCCCCCAGGTGACATGCAATCCGCGAGTGTGAAGGTGGCAGCTGGAGCTGGCGGGGCTCAGAGCATCCCCACAGCTTCCTGGTGGTGGCAGCGCGGCCAGACCCTCCCTCACCCCTCAGGGCGGAGATCCCGGTGAAGCCCACACGTCCCCCTGGCCCAGGCTCCTTGTCATCACACAAGCCCCGAGGCACTGGCTCCGCTCATCAGCATGTGCTCACCACCGCCATCGACCGACCCGAACCCCAGGGGGCAGAGGCGAATCCACCCTCGTGTGGGAGACGCCCGAAGACCCCCCCCCAGGCAGCCGCGGCCCACCCACCGCCTGGGGGTCCAGCTGCTGCCCCACAGGGGGGCCGGGGGCTGAGCAGGTCCCCGGGGCCTGGGTGTGGGGTTAGGGAACGGGCACCCAGACCTTGAGGTAGGCACCCCATGCCTGTGCCACGTCAGCGAGAGGCCAGCAGTGAGCCTTATCCTGCCGTGTGCATTCCAGCACCGTCTGCGAGTCCGTGGCAACATTTAGAGAAATGCCTGGGAAGAGCCAGAAAGCTTGGCAAACGGATCAGGCCAAGGGCACAGCCCACGGGCGGAGGGAGGGCGGAGGGAAGGACCAGAGTGCGAGGCACAGAGAGGACGCTGGCGCCCCCTGCTGCCCAAGAGGCGCCATGGGTACAGCCAGCCACCACATGTGCACCCACACCACACACAGACACCACACACACCACACGCAAACAGACAGACGACACACATAACAAACACACGACATGCACAACACATGACAGACACACGACACACCCCGCAGACAGGTACGCACACAGCATACATATGACAGACACACACGACACGTAGGTAAGACAGGCACACACAAAACACATGCAACAGATACACATGACACACACATGACCCATGTGACAGGCAAATACAACAGATGCTCACACTAACAGACACACAGCACACAACAGACAGAGCAGCGTTGTGAACCGTTTCTAATGCAGAAAAAGAGGAAATGCTAATGACGCCGAGACTCTAGGTCAGCGGTTCTCAACCTGGGGGTCGAACGACCCTTTCACAGGGGTCGCCTAAGGCCACCGGAAAACACATCTATAATTACGTATTGTTTTTGTGAGGAATCACTACGCTTTAATGATGTTCAATGTGTCACAATGGAATTGGGGGTCACCACAACACAAGGAACTGTATTAAAGGGCTGCGGCGTTAGGGAGGCTGGGAACCACTGCTCTAGGTGGTCTGCTCAAGTTCCACTGGCAGAAAGGCAGTGAGGGTCAGGCACCGGGATGTAGCTCTGCTTTGCCACTTAGAAGCTGTGTGACACCAGGCAAGTAGCTTAGCCTCTCTGAGCCTCTGCTACCTCATCTGTAAACTGGACAGACTAATTCCTATGTCCAAGGGTCACTGAAATGATTATACAAAATCACAAAGAAAAAAAGGAAATGAAGGTAGTAAAGCCATAGTTTTTCCATTAAAGATTATCTGAAACACTAGAGGCCCAGTGCACGAAATCTGTGCAAGGGGTTCGGTCCTCGCAGCCCAGCTGCCTCAGCCCTCACAGCCCCGGCTTCGTCCAGAAGGTCGTCCGGACGGTGGCTCTGCTGTTTGGTCTAATTAGCATATTAGCTCTTTATTACATAGGATGCTTTTTTCCCAAAGCACCGTCGGAGACCTGTGAGGACCTGAACCTGGGAGTCCGAGTGCCCATGCAGATCTCACAGATCTGAAGTGGACGTGGGAGGGGCAGGTGTCAGGACCCACAGTGTGACTTCCCTGAGTGACAGCATGTTCCCGGGCTCAGAGGCCTGGCCCCCCGGGGGACGTCGGCAACGATGAGGGTGTGCTCCTGTCTGCAGGGAGCGCGGCCCATCGCCCGGGGGGCCGCTCCCTGTCGCCGCCCTGTGCAGACTCCAGGCTGCAGGCGACCGTGGTGTAGCCTCGCCCTCCCTCCTGCCCTCCTCTTGCTTCCACACTGAGGCATTCTTCTTGTAAAGTTATCAGGAAGAAAACCTAGAGGGTTTTTTTAAAACCTTCACCCATGTAGAAGTTCCGGAAGAATGTACTGAATGTACAAAGCCCACCACCACCCTGATGCCGAGACCCGATTTCTCACACTCGTCAGAGCGATGGTTAAGCTCAGACGACGGCAGCGACCGCCCTGTCAGTGAGCCAGGACAGAGGTAAGCGAGGCTGCACGGTGTGGCTGGACGGACTGGGGGAATTCAAGGTCACTCACCTCCTGCAACGCGCTGCCATTCCTAGGCAGTGTGAGGGGAGCAGAGCTCGGAAAGCAGGAGCTGCTCAGGCCGTGCAGGGCGACCGACGGCTACCTCTGTCCACCTCCCTCCCACGGGGACCAGAGGAGGGCTGGAAGGAGGTGGATGGTGAATGTCACACGGAGGATGGAGTACATGGCTGTCAGGGCCACAGACCCGCAAACCATCCACACCAAGCGGGGGAAGGGCACTTACGTGATAAACTAGTTAAAGCTACTCCCACACAAGTACAGAGGACGTTTCCATCCCAAACAGGCCGGGGAAGGTGGGGGTGGCGCCCCAGCCGCCAGGGACCACAGCGCAGGAAGTGACTTTCCTCAAAGGCGACAAAGGAGGAAGAAGGGCCTCCCTGGAGAAGCTCCACCGACAGGGACGACGGAGGAAGAAAGGGCCTTAGCGTGGGTCCCGGGACGCTGCGCCCCATCAGCCAATGGCACAGAGAAAAGCTAAGGAAAGAGACAGAGAATCAGGGCAGAAAGGCCGTTCAGAAACCATCCTCCTTCCCTGAGAGACGTGTTTTTAGACCGGGGGTGGGATAGGGGAGGCGCACGCAGGGTTCTATGACGGCAGACGGGCAGCCCTCAGGTTCCAGAGCGGCGCCTGGAGCCCACAGAAACAGGGAGACGCCCCACTGTCACATTCCAGAGCCCACGGGAAGGTGGGTGAGCGTGTGACGCCGTCTAAGGTGACAGAGGCTAACGACGTCCTGCTCCCTGAACAAAGAAAGAAAATATTTCAGAAACTCCTCACACAACCCAGAAGGCTCTACGCGGGCCCACGTACAAAAAAGGAAAAGCAGGCGGTTTCCCCGAAGGCAGAATCTGAGCACTGGTTGTTGGCGATGACCGAGGGGAGGATGAAGGGAGCGTGTCACAGACGCTTGGGCTGGCACCGTGGGCACGGTCCCCGGACACGAACACCCAGCGCGTGTGCGAGGAGAAGTGAGCAGCGCACTGACAGGCATGTCCGAGCCGCGATCACACACACAGGCAGCAGGGAAGACGCCGCCCTGCGCCTTCCTGGGCGGTGCCGCTAATTGCCATCCTGTATCCCAGGACCTCCAGCCCCCCCTGCCCGCCCCGAGGGACCAGATCCAGGAACAGCTGCTTCCAGGCCCGAGTCTTGACTTGGGGCTCCATCACCCCTGCACCATCGGCCCACAGGAGCCCAGCCTCTCTGTGGACACAGCGCCCTCCCTGACCACAGATCCTATAAATCGTGCACCATCCACAAGGGACACAGAGCCACCTCACGAGGGCGCCTCTCGGCGCGGACCAAAGGCTGGGTACTCACTCTTGTTGTAGCAGGTGGCCAGCACGCCTTTGTCCGCGGGGCTGGCACTAATGTGCCAGATTTCACCCACTTGGTGGAGGAGGACATTTTTGTTTATGATGTTGTTTTCGTCGTCAAAATCTATGATGTGGATCTACAGACACAAAGAGAGCAAGCAGGTCAGGACCTCATGTGGTAAAGCAGCAACAGAAGCGAAGGCATCTGGAGCGTCGTCAGTGGTGTTCCTGCTCCGCTAACAGTGCACAGTCTGCACAACCAGCTTACTACGCTCCTCTCAGAGACAGGCGTGACGTCCCTGTGTTGTTAAGATGGCAACCACATCACACGGCCCGCCATTCCTGGTCCTAACGAGACGAGACCCCCCCCCCCCCCAAGCTCTGTGCCAGGTGGCTCACTGAGGCCGCAGCTCATGCCAGGGTGTCATCCAGGGCAGTGCAAATCGGCCCAGAGCCTCTGGAACCTGCTGGACGGCTGTGGGGAAAGGAGGGGGGGCCTGGACGGACCAGCTCTGCCCACTCCTCGGTGGGCAATGGCACATCACCCCGCCCCCACAGTTGAGGACTGGGATGGGACTGTACACCAGTACACCTTGAACTTCTTTTTAAAAACCAGTCCAGCCAAAACCGGTTTGGCTCAGTGGATAGAGAGTCGGCTTGTGGACTGAAGGGTCCCAGGTTCGATTCCGGTCAAGGGCATGTACCTGGGTTGCGGGCATATCCCCAGTGGGAGATGTGCAGGAGGCAGTTGATCGATGTTTCTCTCTCATCGATGTTTCTAACTCTCTATCTCTCTCCCTTCCTCTCTGTAAAAAAATCAATTAAAAAAATAAATAAATAAATAAATAAATAATAAAATAAAAACCAGTCCAACAGTTGTCAACCCTCTGGTCCTAAAACATCTACATATATAAAAGGCTAATATGCTAAGTGTCTGACCATCTGACATGTCGCTATGATGCGCACTGACCACCGGGGGCAGACGCTCAATGCAGGAGCTGCTGAGCTGCAGTGACTTGGCAGCAGCGGTTCTCGGGTGATGCACCCTGAAACCAGAGAGGAGGGAGCCCGATTCCTCGTGGGGCGCATCAGCCGTGGGCTATGTTGTTGCTGGGGCACCGTCAGTCCTGAATCTGGTCACTGCACACTTGTGTTTGCGTTCCATACCCTGTACAGCAGCTTTGCAGAGCGCCCTCTCCCACTCCGGGACCCCTCGGGGGGGGAGTCGGAAAGCTGGTTTCGACCCGATCCCCACAGGCCAGGCCGAGGGGCCCCACCTGCCGGAGGGACCCCGCTCACTCCGCAGACGCCATGGAGGGACCGCAGGAGGTTGGCTCCAGGGCGTGTCTGGCCTGTCTCCCCCAGTCCCACCCCACCGGCCACGTTCTAATTAATTTCCTTTCAATGTGCACAAATCCGTGCACTGGGTGACTAGTTAATTATAATAATCACTAGAGGTCCAGTGCACGGACTCGTGCACCAGTGGGGTCCCTCGGCCTGGCTTGTGGGGATCGGGCAGAAACCAGCAGTCCGACAACCCCCGAGGGGTCCCAGATTGCGAGAGGGCGCAGGCCAGGCTAAGGGACCCCACCGGTGCATGAATCCATGCACCAGGCCAGTTTCGGCCTGATCCCCGCAGGCCAGGCCAAGGGACCTCACCAGTGCATGGCACCAGGCCTCTAGTCTATAATAATAAAAGCATAATATGCTAATTAGACCAGATGTCCTTCCGAACGACCTTTTGGACGAAGCTGGTGCTGGCAGCCAGGGGAAGGAAGGCCTACTCCTGCACTAATTTCATGCACGGGCCTCTAGTATGCATATAAGACCTTTGGTTAATCTCTTCCCGCCCCCCACCTCCCCCTTCCCTCTGAGATTCATCAGTCTGTTCCATGTTTCCCTGCCTGTGTGTTGAGCATCTGCCCCCTGGTGGTCAGTGAGCATCACAGTTACGGGTCGCTTAGGTTTTTATGTATATTAGTGTAGATACTGCATTTTACCTACTAAATGCAAAGTTAAACATGCTGTCTCCATGCTTTTCTCGATAAATTTTCGAGGAATTAAAATGATTTCCACTTTCACTCTCTTATCAATACTCCAAGCCAATGAGAAAGATAAAACATTAACTTCAAAAATAAATTTATACTAAGAAAATAATCGTGGGCCTGCACAAAGATTTCAATCAGAGAATGTTGGCTGCGGCGTTGATTACAGTAATGAAAACTCAGAAGTCCCCTCAATGTCCGGGGTAAGGAGGCTCGGCTAAGCTGTAGACCCGACTGGACACAACACATGCGCCACTCTGTGCGGAGAGACTGCGGTGCCGGACGGGCCATCGTCACTGAGGCATGAAGATAGGCTGGGCGAGCTGCCTGCATCCTGTGGACAGCAGGCACGTCCCCGTGACAGAGGACCTGGAAGTGACTGGTTCTCTCCTGATGGCGAGGACAGACTGACTCTCTCCTTCTTTGTGGTTTGTGCTGTGCACCACAGGCATAGGCTAGCATGCGTTGCTCTGCCGTCAGGACAAGCGTTAAGTGCTATTTTTAGCAACATGCCCTTGACCCCGGAAGCCTCTGCACTCCACGCCTGCTACATGAGCCCGTGCTGCCCCGACACGTCCCCTCACAGGGCCTGCATGGGATAGTAACCCCCAGGCCCCGCAGGGGTGGCTCTGGACTCAGAGCAGAATTCAAACTCCCCACTGCCACTTATCGCCGTGTGACCCTGAAGCTGCTTCCCCGAGAGCACCCTGAAGACGAGCTGTGTGCTCCTGGGCCCCCGGCCCGCACTAGAACCACGGAGAACTGTCCTGTTGGAAAGGATAAGCAATGCGACGAGAAGGCACCGGGATAAAGGCGAGTGGGAAAGACCCATTCATGTCGGCCCAGAGGCAGGGAGCACCTGTGCCGGCTGGCAGCGCTCAGCCGCGTCTGAGTTCTTTAACAACAGCTTATAACGCAGACCACGCTCACAGGCTCTGAGTCAGCACTGTCAGGGTTGTCAAAGTCGGTTCATCAGGCAGGGCGATGGACATCTAGGAGTGAGAGCTCTAGGATTCATGAGGAAGCAGGGCCCAGACCACAGCTGGGCACGGGAGTCCAGCCAGTCTTTCTGCTTCCTCTCTTATTGAGCAAAGATAAAATCTTGAAAAAAAAAGTGTTTAAAATTGAATATGGGAAGTCAAAAGCTTCCCTCTGAGGGACAGGTAAGGTCCCCTCTGAGCAAGATGCTGCCTGGCATGGCCCTGCCCTGGCTGGAAGGCTGGCTCACTCCCACAGCAGGTACCCCCTGGCCTCCGCCACCCCACCCCACCCCAGCCTTGGCCCCACCATTAATGCGCCCCTGACTTGTCGTTCCTAACAAAACACCCCGCTGGCCTGGCCTTTCCTGAAGAAGACACGACAGTGCAGGCAGGTCGCCAGCACCAGCCTCCTCACTCGGTCCCACTGAGGCATCGGCCTCGGCACCACAGGCCATCGGGGCCAGGGGGCCATCGGGGCCAGGGGACCATCGGGGCCAGGGGGCCATCGGGGCCAGGGGGCCATCGGGGCCAGGAGGCTGGGTCCCGTGCTGATCCTGCCACGTCCTGGCTGAGTGATGCTGGGCGAGCCCTCACAATCTGGGCTCCCGCTGCAGCATTTGTAAATTCGGGGAACTGAGTCCTAAGATCCCTGTGACACAGAAACCGGTCCTTCAGCTGAGCCTTTAATGACCGGTGACGGTTACATATGATCGAGCCCCTCGTCATGCCACAGTATGGCTACCACCCACCGTCCGGATCACAGGCTCTGCTGGAGCAAAGGCCCGCACGCCCACATCCCGTCCCTGACCCAGGACGCGCTCCCCATTCCAGCCTCACCGTGCCAGCAAGGGCGGTTCTGGGAACAGAAGGGGTGCAGTCCATCCGGGCCAACCCCAGACAGCGTCTCAGGCAGTGCGTCCTGGCCACTGAGTGTGAGGGACGGAGAGAAATGTCAGAGCCCCTAAATCAGCAGGCCGTCCAGAAAAGTACAGGCGAGAGCGCCATGGGGTCTCAGCCGCACTGCGGAGCCCTGGGTCCAGCCTCGCCCAGATCAGCCTCCTGGCAATGCTTCCATGACACAGGGCAATACATTCCGGTCTCGTTAACGGAATGGGGGGGAGGGGGCAGGGAGAAATGGAGGGTCAGTGAGCCTGGCCTGGGGCCCCAGACTCTGCTTCCCAACAAGGGTGGCCAAGGACAGAACCTGCCGGCAGAGGGGCACCGTGTGGCAAAGCCGTCCTTAATCAAAATGCAAGCACAGGACACTGGAGCTCACAAATTAAAGAGGAAAAGATTTACAGGGCGAGAGCTGCAGAGGGAGCCAGCTGTGCTGTCATCCCTTGAGGGCCGTCAGCCTTTCCACAGCCCGCGGGGCTCGTCAGGGCTGTGTGGAGAGAGGGCAAGTCACAGCCTCCTCCTGGCCAGCCTGGCCCTCCTCCCCCACCTGCATAAGAAACGGGTTTGCAATAAGCAGTGAAGCCCATGGAAAAAGGACAGTGCAGAGGCCGACCCCTCCCATCTGAACCCCTGGTTCCCAGCCTCTGCCGAGCTTCCCCCACGGCCCATGTGCACACCCCCCTCACGAAGGAGAACCCAGGAACAGACTCAGAAGTGCGCGTCTGCCCATGGGGAGCCTGTGCAAAACCAAGGGCACAGAAACAAAGGCTTCCCGCAACAAGGAGAGGCAGCCACTGTGACAGCTCCGACATTCTTCAGAAAACCGGGGCTGAGCTGAGTAGCAGCCCTTTCTAGGGAACTGATGGCTGCGGGAGGAGCTGAGGCCCGAGGCACAGCCAGGGGCATCAGCCAGCACAGCCACCCTCCCCCGGAAGTCTGGAGAGCAGGAAAGGGGGGGCAGGGGGTGGGGGGCGGAGATCCATGGTCACAGCTCCCGAAGCACAGCCAGACCTGAGCTGTCACCACCTGGCAGGGGCCGGGCCTGGGCCTGGGCCAGCTGTCTGACCTTGGGACGTGTAGCTCCCACACAGGCCCTGTCTGCATGGGGGCTGCACAGACAAGCACAGCAAGTGTTCAGGGCACACGTGCTCAGGGCACAAGCTCTAGGAAGTGCAAACTGAGCGGGGGGGGGGGGGGGGGGGGGGGGGGTGTAGGGTGTCTGAGTCACAGGTCTGCCCCATTCTGCTGGGTCACCTTGGAAAAACCATGTGACTGCTCAGGGCCGTCCCCCCACCCCCCACTCCACCAGCACCCGGCCATCCTCCCCCCACTCCACCAGCACCCGGCCATCCTCCCCCCACTCCACCAGCACCCGGCCATCCTCCCCCCACTCCACCAGCACCCGGCCATCCTCCCCCCACTCCACCAGCACCAGGCCATCCTCCCCCCACTCCACCAGCACCAGGCCACCCTCCCCCCACTCCACCAGCACCAGGCCACATGTCCCGCCCCCCCCCCACCACCACCACCACCAGCACCCGGCTGTGCCCGCTCCAGGTGCGCCCCCAGTGCATCCTCAACACCAGCAGCTGGAGGACGACACGAATGAGGCTCCGGTGACCGCCCAGGAGCCGTGCAGCTCGTCCCGCACAGGAGGAAACAGCCCAGGGAGCGGGTGCGGAGACGAGGCTGGTGACAACCTCTGCCATCACCATGCACTTGACAATCAGGGACGACATCGCTGGGAAGCCCCTCTGCAGAGAGAAGCGGGGCCGCGAGGCTGTGCTCCCCCCACGCTCCCCTCCCAGACGCAGGCCACTCCCGCCCAGCACAGGACACAGCGGCGCCTGCGGGAGCCCCTGCAAACATCTCTCGGGGGCGGAAACACACTCACATGTGCGAGGAAGAGGCACACGAGAATAGCACAGGCCGTCCACAGAGAAACACGCACGCTGCGTGTGGGGGGAAACCAGTCCCATGTGGGAAGGAGCACTGTGCTGTGTGCACCGGATGTGTCACATATGAGAACCGGGTGTCGTGTGGTAGGAACCCATGTGTCACATGGGGAAACACACGTCTCATTGAGGGAGGCCCGTGTGGTGTGAGGCGTGAGGGCTGCTTCCGGCAGCGCAGGGGAGCAGAGCAGGCGTGTGCAGCCACCCTAACCCCCCCCCCCACCCCCCGCGCTCCTGGCCAGGCTCCGCCGGGAATGACCCCACCCTGAGGAAACAAGGCCACGGCCGGTGAACGCATTCCATCCTGGCCCGAGGCCTCGGCCAAAGAGCCACCTTCCCCTGATGCTGGCGCCAACGCCAACAGACCGAAGCGAGGGCGCTTCCCCTGGGTCCCGCGCCCCTTGCGCGTGCTGTCACCACGGCCACAGTGTCCGCATTCCCGCCGCCATCTCCCTGAGAGCGCAGCCCTGAGCAGGACGCATCTGCTCACGCTCTGAGGACCCGGCACACCCCCCGCGAGGGGAGCACCCAGCGCTTGCTGAGCGAACCGAAGGAGCCTGTCCCAGCCACGCCCAGCGCCTTTCCCAGGGCAGCACGGGGACACGCAGGTCCGGCGCTCTCGATACCTGTCCTTGGAACCGTGTGCAGTCGTGAGACCATCCTTCCCGCCACCCTCGCGGGAAGCGGACCAGGAGCCGGAGCACAGGCTGAGTTAGCGGCTCAGTGAGGACGCCTGAGGGGCCGAGACAGGAGCAGTGGTCCCGCCGGCAAACAGCACCGCCTGCTGGAGGGCAGGGGAGCGGCTTCCCCCCAGGTACGTCCTTCTGACCCTAAACTGCGGCTGCACAGAGCTCTGACACCTGAGCCCACTTCCCGTGTGACCGTGATGGCTGGGCGAGGCCCTGCCTCTCAGACACGGCCCATGTGCGTCGCGTGTCCCCGTCAAGGACAGCGCTCATCCTCACGTCACGGCGCCTGCGAGGTGCCGACCGTCCGCAGCCTCACCTCTGCTTACAGTGAGGAAGCGAAGTCCAGCAAGGGCAGTCCATTTGCTCAAGGTCACAGTCAGTGTCAAGCTGGGCACTGAACCCTGACCTCAGGAGTATCCAGCACGCTTTCTTCTAAAGTGGACAGTCCAGCAAACGGGCCCCTCCTGCATGCCCATGGGGTCAGCTGGCCCGAGGCCTCCTCCAGGCGCGGAGGAGAGCGTGCTATGAGCAACGAGAGGTCGTCACTGGCCAGGAGAAGGGCTGATGGCTGATGCTGACCACAGGCCCCAGGCTGCTTCCCAGTCACTCACACAGTACGTCCTACGCAGCCACAAGAACGACCACAGCGGTGCCCACGGGAGGCATTTGAATCACTACACTCAACCAGGACCTACAGCTGGATGTTAACATCCCAATGAAAGTTTTCTTTTGTTCGTGTGGCATTGATTTCCTCAAATGTTGCTTGAAAAATCAAGAGCAAAATGGTCACCAAGTCAGAATAGGTTTAATGGACGCATCTGCCAGAAACAGTTACCTGATTGTCGTATTTCAGAGACTGCGTCCCGACCAGAAACCGGATGGCGTCCGTCTCTGCCGTCTGCGGGGTCAGCGCACGTGCCTGCGGGAGGGAGCGCACACCGTTACCACCCTGGGCTTCGGACGGCAGCTACCACCCGCTCACCGCCGCCCACTCCCATTGTGTGCACGGAAGGACTGTGAGTGGGCACAGCAGTTAGGCAGTGAAGATGTGAGTGTGTGTCAACAAAGCCGGAATTGTCAACAGCGACAGATTGGTTGAGCAGGTTTTTCTGCAACAGAACAGCAGACAGTGGCTCCAGCACGGCAGAGCAGGCGTGGTCAACCGAGGCAGAACGGCGACAGCCACAGAGCCCCGGGCGGCAGGGTCCTGCCCTGAACCTCGCATGGAGCGGGCTGTCCCAGCATCGGGAAACGAGCACTGTTCGCGGAGTGGGCCCTGCCGGCGCCCTTCCTCCCACCGCAGCTGGAACAGGCTGACCCCACCTCCTCTGGCCCCTGGAGTCCCACAGGCTCTCAGTGCCTTGATCCATCCTCTTCAAGGCGGAAATGAGCGAAGCTGACAGCTGTCCTGACCACTGAGTCCGGGACAAGCCACAAGTCTCTACCGGAAAAGGTCTGGAGACGACAGGAAACACACGGATCCGTGTTCCCACCTTCCTCCGAAGCGCCAATGGCGCAAAACCATCGACGGCTGAGATACCTCAGTGCCACCAGGCAGACACGGCGGCGGCGCACCAAGTGCCAGACGCCGGAGAACAAGCCCCTTCCTCCCCTCCGACGACCTAAAGGCGCTCAGGCTCCACTGCCGGAGCCTGCCCTCCTCGGCAGACGTGGCTGGACAAGTCCTGGAGTCTTAGATTTCTTTGCAAAGCTCATGATTCTTTATGAATCTATAGATCTTCTGCCAAAAATGTGCATTCACATTCACAGAAATTCATGTGTATCAGCAAATTCACTCCCTGAACCCTACCCGACCTAAACAACCCGGCTTAGAGAAAGCGACTCATGACGGAGGGTCCAGGCCATTCCTGAAAGACACGCCCCACAGCTCACCTGAGGCAGAAGCAGGATAGGCGCCCCCCGTGTGGAGGAGAAGATGCCCGTGCTCGGGGCGTCAGACGCCGCCGAGGGGCAGGCCAGGGCGCAGGGCCCACGCGTGGGCGAGGAGGAACCAGGACACAACGGGCTTCCTCCTAACCAGTGACGGCGAACCTTCTGAGCTCGGCGTGCCAGCATTTTGAAAAACCCTAACTTAACTCTGGTGCCGTGTCACATAGAGAAACTTTTTGATCTTTGCAACCATAGTAAAACAAAGACGTATATTTTTGATATTTATTTTATATATTTAAATGCCATTTAACAAAGAAAAATCAACCAACAAAATGAGTTTGCGTGTGACAGGATCGCCATCACTGGCCTAGGCGCTGACGGGGCCAAGCACCATCCGAGGAGCAGCAGCCGTCACGCACAGGCCACGTGTTCCCGGGGGAGCCGCCCTTGAGAAAACGCCACAAGCCCGAACCACCTTGTCCTGCTCACACAGGAGACGCCTTTCTAATCGAAGAGGAAAATCGTTCTTCTCCAGAATCTAAACTGCATCTTTAAAATACAGTGAAACTCATAAAAGTGTAACTGAAGACCTTTCTAGTACATTATTGGGTAAAATTACAAAAATAACTAAACTCTGGCCATTTTGGTGACAGAGTGATATCCGTGTCTGTGATTCTGCTTCTTTAACTGAAAAATAAAATGGCCTTCCCACGTGCAGTCATAGCGACGGTTTGAGGTGTTCCAATGACCCTAATACAGTAAGACGGAAGTTCCATAGTGTAATAGGTCACCAAAAATGCCCCTGACTTTATCTTGGCTCATCCTCACAATTCAACGAAGCAGACAGGAAGGCAGGACGGATATACCTCCACAGACGACAAAGGCACTGGGGACCAGGGAGGGCGACTGGCTACAGTCACACAGCTGAGACAAGAGCCCAGACTCCCAGCCGAGGCCAGTTCTTTCTGTTACAGTAAGCAGGGAGCTGGCAGCACAGGGAGACATTTGTCTAGCTGGTTATGTGGGACCACAGGTCACCTTATTATAATTCCACTAGACCAGCGATGGCGAACCTATGACACGCGTGTCTGAGGTGACACGCGAACTCATTTTTTTGGTTGATTTTTCTTTGTTAAATGGCATTTAAATATATAAAATAAATATCAAAAATATCAGTGTTTTACTATGGTTGCAAATATAAAAAATTCCTATATGTGACACGGCACCAGAGTTAAGTTAGGGTTTTCCAAAATGCTGACACGCCGAGCTCAAAAGGTTCGCCGTCACTGCGCTAGACGCCTGGTGCACGAAATTCGTGCACTCAGGGGGGGTCCCTCAGCTCGGCCTGTGCCCTCTCGCAGTCTGGGAGCCCTCGGGGGATACCTGACTGATGGCTTCGGCCCACTCACAGGGAACGGGCCTAAGCCGGCAGTGGGACATCCTTAGTGCTGCCACGGAGGCGGGAGAGGCTCCACCACCGCCGCTGCGCTCACCAGCTATGAGCCCGGCTTCTGGCTGAGCGGCACTCCTCCTGTGGGAGCGCACTGACCACCAAGGGGCAGCTCCTGCATCAAGCATCTGCCCGCTGGTGGTCAGTGCAAGTCATAGTGACCAGTCGTTCTGCTATCAGGCCGAAACCAGCTCTCGGACATCCCCCGAGGGGTCCTGGATGGTGAGAGGGCACAGGCCAGGCTAGGGACCCCAGTGGTGCATGATCGGGGCCAGGGAGGGACGTAGGAGGGCTCCAGGGCGTGTCCAGCCCATCTCACTCAGTCCCAATCTGCTGGACCCCAGCAGCAAACTAACCTACCAGTTGGAGCGTCTGCCCCCTGGTGCTCAGTGCAGGTCATAGCGACTGGTCGACCGGTCGACTGTCTGCCCCTTGGTGGTCAGTGCACGTCACAGCAAGTGGTTGAGCAGCCTTAGCATATCATTAGCATATTATGCTTTGATTGGTTGAACGGCCAACCGAATGACAGGACACTTAGCATATTAGGCTTTTATTCTATAGGATTATATAGGATAGGCTGTGTCTTGCCCAGTTTTCCAAAGGAAAGCCATGGCCTTCCTCACAGAGCTGTCTCCTCGCCTGCCATCACCACTGAGTGAGCCCAACCAGTAAGAGGCGACGGAGACGCCCAGTCCAGAGCCCAGCAGGGAAGAGCCGTGGGAACGTGCCGACCAGGTCTCCTCGGTCGCAGGAGGCCCCAAACCGGGACCTGAGTCTGAACTGAGTACACAGATGCTTCACCACGAGGCCTCTCTCTGCCCGTCCCTTCCCCCCTCTACTCTCTCTAAAGACTAATGGGAAAGCGTCCCTGTGAGGATTAACAAACACAGCCAGCTGGTGTGGCGCAGTGGGTGAGTGTCTACCATGGACCAGGCGAACACGGGACGATGGGACCCTTTGGGGGAGACACGGGACGATGGGAACCCATTGGGGGGGGGGGGCACAGGACAATGGGACCCTTTGAGGGGAAACGGGACGATGGGAACCTTTGGGGGGGACACAGGACGATGGGAACCCTGTGTGGGGGACACGGGACGATGGGAACCTTTGGGGGGACACGGGACGATGGGACCCTTTGGGGGGGACACGGGACAATGGGACCTTTTGGGGGGACACGGGACAATGGGACCCTTTGGGGGGACACGGGACGATGGGAACCCATTGGGGGGGGGGCACAGGACAATGGGACCCTTTGAGGGGAAACGGGACGATGGGAACCTTTGGGGGGGACACAGGATGATGGGAACCCTGTGTGGGGGACACGGGACGATGGGAACCTTTGGGGGGACACGGGACGATGGGACCCTTTGGGGGGGACACGGGACAATGGGACCTTTTGGGGGGACACGGGACAATGGGACCCTTTGGGGGGACACGGGACGATGGGAACCCTTTGGGGGGACATGGGACGATGGGACCCTTTGGGAAGACATGGGACGATGGGATCCTTTGGGGGGGAGACACGGGACGATGGGAACCCATGGGGGGAGGACACGGGACGATGGGAACCCTTTGGGGAGACACGGGACGATGGGAACCCTTTGGGGGGACACGGGATGAAAATGAAACAGAGCGTCCGTGGGACGCAGGCGACCTCCGAGCAGCCCGTGCTTCGTCCCCACGTGTATCTGAGCTCCCCACGCGCCGGGTCACGCAGGACGTCAGCCCGGGAGCTGGTGCGGGTCCGCGGGGACGCCCGTCCGTCCTCCCGACTCGGGGAGACGTGGCTGCCGGGACTGAACGACGGGAGGAGCCAGAGCTCCGCCGCCGGAGCCCGGGCGCCGCAGGAACAGGGACCGGGCGAGTGCGCGGGGTCGCGGGGGAGCATGAGGCCGCGCCAGCGCCGGGACCGCGGAGTGAGGTGGCGGGGCTGTCGCGCTTCCCGGCCGATCCCCGGGCGACCAGCTCCTTCGGCCCCGCAGCCCCGGCCCCTTGGCTGCCAGGGAGGCGGGGACCGCGCCGGCCTCGCTCCTCACACTCGGACGCGCCGGCCGCGGGGACCCACCTGGAATTCCAGCCCGTAGATCACCGGCGCGTCGTCCTCCATGCTGCCGCCCCCCGCGGGTCCCGAGAGCCGGCGCGCCCCCTGCGATGCGCGAATAGGTTCCCTGCCGCGCGCCGCGCGCCGCAATTCGATCCTTTCTGACCCGCCGCGGCCTCCGTAGGGCTCACTTCCTGTTTTTCTGTCGCGTCATCGAGACGCTCCTCGCCGGCGGCCAATGGCGGCAGGACTCGTGTGGTGCGCATGCGCACCGGAACCCATCCGGGCTCTCTCCTTGGCTGGCCCCGAGAGGCCGGGTTGGTGGGAGGGGCGTCGGCTGGGGGCGGGGCCTCGCCTGGGCGGTGCTACCCCCACCTCGCCATTAGGGGCCGCCAGAGAGTCTCCTGCAGGAAGCCCCATGCTCCCTCATCCCAGAACCGAGCACCTGGGGCAGGGGCACTGTGCTTTGTTATCATTAGTACTTTCCCGAGCGAGAGGGCAAGTGCATTCCATCCACTGCCGTGAACTTCTTGGCTCCAACCTTAAGAGTAAGGAATCATACTTCAAAAAAAAAAAAAATCACACTTCCATTTACCGATGAGCTGCGGCCGCGTGGGCAGCTAGGATGCACGGAGCAGCTAAGATGCGTGGAGCAGCTAAAGGAAGAAAAAGAAGAAAGAAATGGCGGGGTCTGATTTGGTGTTTGACTCAGATGCATTCCAGCACCGAATGAGTGACATGACAGGCCTGGTGAAGTTAAGCCTAGATCAGTGGTTCTCAACCTTGGCTGCACATTAGAATCCCCTGGGAATCTTTTTAAAATCCTGATTTCTGGGCCTCATCCTCCAGAAATTCTGTTTCTTTGTTACTAATGTTGTGGCCCCACCCCATAACAAAGAAACAGAATTTCCGGGGGGTGAGGCCCAGAAATCAGGATTTTAAAAAGATTCCCAGGTGCTTCTAATGTGCAGCCAAGGTTGAGAACCACTGGCCTAGATGGATATTTGCTGGGTGAATGAGGGGATCTGGGTATCACTGTGTTATTAGTACTGACTAGAGCAGTGATGGCAAATCTTTTGAGCTCGGTGTGTCAGCATTTTTAAAAACCCTAATTTAACTCTGGTGCCGTGTCACATAGAGAAATGTTTTGATATTTGCAACCATCGTAAAACAAAGACTTATAATTTTGATATTTATTTTATATATTTAAATGCCATTTAACAAAGAAAAATCAACCAAAAAAATGAGTTCGCGTGTCATAGGTTCGCCATCACTGGACTAGAGGCTTGGTGCACGAAATTCGTACACTTTTTGGGGGGGGGCATCCCTCAGCCCAGTCTGCGTCATCTCGCAGTCCAGGACCCCTCAGGGGATGTCTGACTGCCAGCTTAGGCAGGGATTGGGCCTAAGCCGGCAGTCAGACATCCCTCTCACAGTCTGGGGCTCTTGCAGTCCAGGACCCCTTGCTCCTTACTGCCCGCCTACAGCAGAGGTGGCAGGAGGGGCTTCCACCACCACCGCAGCACTCGCCAGGTGAGCCTGGCTTCTGGCTGAGCAGAGCTCCCCCTGTGGGAGTTCACTGACCACCAGGGGGCAGCTCCTGCATTGAGCGTCTGCCCCCTGGTGGTCAGTGCAAATCATAGCGACCGGTCGTTCCACAGTTTGGTCGATTTGCATATTACGGTTTTATTATATAGGATAGGATAGGATGTTGTAGGTAGATAGATGGGAGCAGAGCAAGGACGATGGGCCAGGTACAGGTCACCAGGGTGGAACTCCTGGACACCTAGTGATGAGAAAGAACTGGTAGTGCAGATATTGGAGATAATCAATTCAAGACCATGCCCCTAGGACTGCTCTCCACCCTAGAGTGGCAGGCATTGCCGGAGGCCCTCTCTCCACCTAGAGAGCCTCGGGTCATGCAGGCGGGATTTCCCCGGCCTTCTGTCCTCTTGCACTTGGTTAGTCAGGTGGTAGACCCTCACCCATAGATGACAACAGGGAGAGGGGCTGGAGAAAAGTCCCACCTAACTTCCATGCAAGGATAGGTCAGTCTGAAGAAAGCAGTGAATTCCGCCCCGAGGCTTTAAAAGGAATCCTAGCCATTCCCCAGGGCAGCTCTTTGAGCAGCCGCTTGAGATTTCTCTTCGAATGTCCTTTCTCTTGGCTCAAATGGATCGTCTCTAGCGAGTTTGGCTCTTGGCTCTGAATTCTTCTCTTAGCCGGAACCCAAGTAGGAGGTTGCTGAGCCCCGCTTTGGTCTGACCCCGCCGGTGAGACGCCTGGTGCGGTTCCCACGGCCGACAACGGACACTTTTTATCATTAATGTTATTACGCAAATAGTGCCGATGTGCAGCAGGAAGAGTCGAAGGCACAGCAAGGCACGAAGACAAACCCTGAAGATAGTCTCCAGGGCGCTTTGGCCCCGATGAAAGAAGCCTAGCTGTGTCCCTTCCAGCTGCGCCCCCCGCCGGCGAGGTTTAGAGTTACTCCCGCTCCAGCCCCAAGATCGCCCCGCCCACCCCGCCGCGTTCACGCCCCCAGGCTCAGGCCCCGCCCCGTGGCCCCGCCCCCACCTCCGGGCCCCGCCCCCGCTGCGTGAACCGGAAATGCAATGCGCTTCCGGCCGCCACCATTGAGAGGTCGGGGAGGAGGCTGCACTGGGCATGCGCGCAGGAGAGGCGGCGCGGCCGGCGCAGTAGGCGCAGCGTTCACGCCCCCTTCCCGCTTCCTCCACATTCTCGCCGACCCCGCGGTCGCAGGTGAGGCCCGCCGGCTGCAGGGACGGCTCCCGCCGCCTCAAGCTCTCCCCGCTCCTCCCCGGGCCCCGCCGGCCGCGTCTGCCGCGGGGACTTTGGCGCGTCGCGGCGGGGGGCGTCGGCGGCTCAGGCAGGGGAGCCGGGGAGCAGGCAGAGGGCGGACCGGGGCGCAGGCAGAGGGCGGACCGGGGCGCAGGCAGAGGGCGGACCGGGCTGCAGGCAGAGGCATCAGGGCGCAGGCAGGGGGTCTGGGGTGCAGGCAGAGGGGTTTCATTAATGATGTTACCTAAAACAAGGTTTCCGAGAATCTAAACATCGTTACACACTTAAGCTGTGACTTGAAAGATTGTTGCTTTTTGCTCGCTTTGTAATTTTCAGATGATTTCTTTTAAAATGTCCTAGGTAGCCCTGGCCTGTGGGCTCAGTGGTTAGAGCATCATCCCGTGGGCCGAAGGGTCTCAGATTCGATTCCCGTTCAAGGCACACCCCTGGGATGCGGGCTCACTCCCAGCCCGGTGGGGCCCCTGTGGGAGGCAGCAGTCAGTGTGTCTCTCTCACGTCTATGTTTCTCCCTCCCCCCTCCCTCCTCTAAAAAGCAATGGGAAAATCTCTTCGGGTGAGGATTTAAAAAACGTTTAAGGAAATTCTGATCTTTGCTACAACATGGCCTTCTAAGCCTTGAGGACGTGCTCCGTGAAGTGAGGCAGCCACAGAGAGACAGCACTGCTGGTTCCATTTCCGTGAGGCCCCCGCAGCGTCAGGTTCCTAGGAAGGCGGGTGTGGGTGCCGGGCTGGGAGAGGCGTCAGCTTACCGAGCGCACAGTCGGTTTTACAAGATGAGAGGAGTTCTGGGACGGATGGCGGTGATGGTTGCACAACCTGAACGTGCTTAATACACTGAACTGTACACTTGGAAATGACTAAGGTGGTGAGTTTTACGTTGCCTGTCTTTTACTACAGTAACATGTAAGTGGCTGGAGAAATGGAGTCTTTTGAATATGGATGTGAACATATAACTGATAAACGCTGTTCAGTGCAGTTGTAGGTTCACTGCAAAACTGAGCAGCAGGCGCAGGGACCCACGGTTTCTCAGCCTCCCTGTGATCAATGTCCACACCGGCCGGGACAGGTTGCAGCCTGAGGACAAGTCCTTATCACCCAAGATCCACAGATGGACAGTAGGGGTCACTGGCTGTTGCACTTTCCATGGGTCTCTAGAGCCAGCGGTTCTCAGCCTGTGGGTCGCGAACAATGAAAATACATCCTGCATATCAGAGGTTTACATGACGATTCATAACAGTAGCAACATGACAGTGATGAAGTAGCAACGGAAATACTTTTATGGTTGGGGGTCACCACCACATGAGGAACTGTATGAAAGGGTCACGGCATGAGGAAGGTTGAGAACCACTGGTAGACAATTGTAAGATGACGTGTTTACCATTTTTATAAAGTAGCCCGGCCGGCGTGGCTCAGTGGCTGAGCATCGACCTATGACCCAGGAGGTCAGGGTTCGATTCCCGGTCAGGGCACATGCCCAGGTTGTGGGCTTGATCCCCAGTGTGGGGCGTGCAAGAGCCAGTCAATGATTCTCTCTCATCATTGATGTTTCTGTCTCTCTCTTTCTCTCCCCTCCTCTCTGACATCAATAAAAATATATTTAAAAAGAAGAAAGAAAAAAGTAGGATAAAACGAGCTTCATAGTAACGGGAGGAAAAGCTGCTGAGGTTGGTGTATCTGCCTTTGTTTCAGGGACCATGGGGGACGCTCCGGGTGCTGAGCAGAGCCTGACCACGGAGCCCCGGCTGGCCGAGGGGGGAGCAGGAAGCATCGCCCCGGAGGCACCCCAGCAAGAACCCGGGCTGCTCTACCAGGAGGAAACCATTGATCTCGGGGGCGACGAGTTTGGGTCAGAGGAGAATGAGGCCGTCTCGGATGATTCCAATAACTTTGCAGACAAGCTCAGCGAGCACATGATGGAGAGCGTCCTCATTTCGGATTCCCCGAACAACAGCGAAGACGACACAGGCGACCTGGGCGGTGACCTTGGTGGGGCGCAGGATGTCCGGGAGCCTGCTGGAGGCAGTGCTGATCGCAGCCCGGACAGTGTCCCGGGCCAAGGCAAAGGCGCCGCGGACACGCCCAGTCCTGACAGTGAGAGCGATGCAGACAAGGCACCGAAGGGCGTCTCGGAAGGCACTCCTGGCGACAGGGTGGCCTTGAAGGCAGACCCGGAGCCGGAAGGGAAAGGCTTGCCCGCCTGTGAGCATGAGGATGCCGGGGAGCCGGGCCCCAGGCACCAGGGCCCACCCCCTCCCAAGGACACGCCCGTGCCCGTGTGCACCATCTTCAGCCAGGCCCCGGCCGCGGCCGCCCAGCCCAGCCCCTTCCTGCAGGACGGCTTCGAGTCCCAGATGGTGAAGTCGCCCAGCTTCAGCGGCCCCA